GGGGGGGGGAGGAGTAGGTCTGCATGGTGATGTCTGATAGCTCAATGTTGTTGGAGTCATTTAATTAAATAGAATAACTAAAACTGATTGGGATTTTCACTAGTAGACAAAAGTACGATGCAAATGATCAAAAATGAGAAAATTTCTGTTCTACGGGGGGGGGAGGGGGCATTTAAATATTAAAAGGGGATGATATCGTGATTGCAATCCTGAAATATATACCGTACATACTAAATAAATGCAAATAAACTAACCAAGCTGTTTTCTATACTTGTCAATATTTGTATGTCCATAACTGTTATCTTTTCTGCCCATTACTTTGAAAATATTTGATCGAATCAACAACGAAATGTCTTATGATGTGGCAATTAAAACAATTTTTGTTTTCCTCGAGTCGGAACGTGTCGTGAAGCCTTGTAGTGTATGGAAAATAAGGAAACTTTTAACCCGAGTCGGAAATACTCGTGATACTCTCGTTACCCGAGCGTTGATACGATCGCTTTTTGGGATATTGAAATTCTAAAAATTGCAAAGATGTTTGCATGGACCACTGGATTTAGACATTGAGCTCTAGACTTTGAGGTCTGGGGGTCAGCCTCCAGACTTTGATGGTCATTCTACAAATGGAAACAATTGAAAATAATAACCAGCACACTGTATTATATGAAATTCTAATGTGTGAATATGCTGCTTCTAACAGAATGGAAGACATGTTAGCAGGTATTAAATGTTCTGGCCCTTTAAAACAAAAAAGTCTGTAGGCACAGCGTATTAACCGTGCCACACCATGATTTGTCATCAAATTGCTGACGCCCCATGGTCTTAGCCATTGTGCTTGTGAGTCTTGTGAGAGCCATTCACCCTCTGGGCGTCCGCCATTTTGAATGTTATCAAGGGGATGAATAGGCGTGCTGGCTAGGACCATGGTGCTGGCTAGGACCATGGTGCTGGCTAGGACCATGGTGCTGGCTAGGACCATGGGGTCAGCATTTCGATGACAAATTACAGTTACATCGAAATCGTAGGAAAAACCAGGAAGTTGATCTTCTGTTTATTTCTATTCTGTGCTGTAGGCCTCAGGCCTGCATGGTCTTTAATTGGCCAACATGTAGGTTCGAAAACCTTTTAACCTATATAGGGATGCCTTACGGCCTACAGAGCTCTTTAGGTGCCTATATGCTTCTATTAAGGGAATTGAAACATTCCCTATAGGCACCGGTAGGCCACCTATAGAGTTTTTTCCTTAGGGTTGGTATTTTGAAACATGTGACTTTCGAGACTTGTGAGCTGGCTTTTATCGTAAAACCATACTGCCCCTTGCCCTGTTCAAATTTAGCTGGTAGGCAAATTCTGATTAGTCCATTGAGTTGCATTGCCTCCCATTGGGTGAACAATTAAGACAAGCGGTTCATTAACTTCTTACGGAAGTGATGCTTGCCATATAATAAATGGTTCATAATGCATGTTTTTCACTTATATTGGCCCATGTTTCTACTGTCTCGGTAGATAACTAACTCAGCCCAATCCAATGCATCATTGGCTGTACTGTTTGACATATTATGGAACCTAAGATTTTACAAAAGGCAGCACCAAACCCAATGGCGGAAATCTTGGTGGGGCGGGGGGTGGCTGCCCCCCCCCCCGAGGAAAATTGGCGAATTTTCCGAGTACGACGAGGGCTAAAAGCAGTCTTTTCGAGTGCAAATGGGAGGGGGGGTACGTCGGAAATTTGAAAGTTTTGTCGGGAATTTAGAAGGCTTTGCCCCCCCCCCCCCACCGGAAAAAGTGAATTTCCACCACTGACCAAACCGATACAGCCATTTGCAGTTGAGCTTGTAACTTGTGTTGTAAATGCTTTGAAATGTGTATTGTTTATTTACTTTGCCCCTCAAAATTTGCAAAGATAGAATGCAGTCATGGCTTAATTGTTAGATAATTAATCATAGGGCTGAGTTGGTTTACAAGCAAGCCGAGTTGGTCCTTGAACAGTGGGCCGAATTGGTTAGTGGGCCGAGTTGACTGTAATGCTAACATGTTTTTGGTTCTCTGCACATCCATAATTTATTCCGATTTCCCATTTGACGTAAACAGTTTTCTTGGTTTTAAAGGATTATTGGAGGACAAGGATGTATCTGAAATGGAATGTTCACAAGTGCCGATGTTGTGTGCTACACTGTCGTCCATTATCAAAAACAGAGAGACAGAACACTTTGATAAAGCCGTCAATATCCTTTGGGAGTTATACGAAGTTGTCCCAAACTATCCATTGGAAATGTTTGCAAATTTGACAATTGACATTCTCATTTGTGTATGTTGCTTAAATGTTATGGTGTAAACAATATTTTGTATAAAAATAAGGAACAATCAGGCAAAGCTTTGCAGTTATGTCAATAAAATGTTGATTGTCTGAGACATTTTTAACAACACTTTTTGTTGCAGTTAAAATCAAAACAGAAGTTTTAATTTGATGATTGTCTTTTATACAGAGGATATTAATGGATTTGACAAATTTGGATACTGTTGAAAATGCACAGTTAGTGAATGACATCTTGGGATCATTTAGGATACCTGCAGATATAAAACTGGTATGTTTTACCTTTTAACAATGAATATGAATTTTTTAAAATTTTCTTTTGAGCATAACAGTAGTGCAATTAACTAATACAGTCAGAATTTTCCATTGTCTTTTCATTGTTTTGAAAATCTTGCTGTTTTCCATGCCATCCAGTCATGATCCAGTGATCAGAATGTTCCATTGTGTTTTCATTGTTTTGAAAATCCTGCTATTCTCCATGCCATCCAGTCATGATCCAGTGATCAGAATGTTCCATTGTCTTTTCATTGTTTTGGAAATCCTGCTATTCTCCATGCCGTCCAGTCATGATCCAGTGATCAGAATGTTCCATTGTGTTTTCATTGTTTTGAAAATCTCACTGTTCTCCATGCCATCCAGTCATGATCCAGTGATCAGAATGTTCCATTGTCTTATCATTGTTTTGAAAATCTCACTGTTCTCCATGCCATCCAGTCATGATCCAATGATCAGAATGTTCCATTGTGTTTTCATTGTTTTGAAAATCCCACTGTTGTCCATGCCATCCAGTCATGCATGATCCAATGATCAGAATGTTCCATTGTGTTTTCATTGTTTTGAAAATCCCACTGTTCTCCATGCCATCCAGTCATGATCCAATGATCAGAATGTTCCATTGTCTTTTCATTGTTTTGAAAATCTCACTGTTCTTCATGTCATCCAGTCATGATCCAGTGATTAGAATGTTCCATTGTCTTTTCATTGTTTTGAAAATCTCACTGTTCTTCATGTCATCCAGTCATGATCCAGTGATTAGAATGTTCCATTGTCTTTTCATTGTTTTGAAAATCTCACTGTTCTTCATGCCATCCAGTCATGATCCAGTGATCAGAATGTTCCATTGTGTTGTCATTGTTTTGAAAATCCCACTGTTCTCCATGCCATCCAGTCATGCATGATCCAATGATCAGAATGTTCCATTGTGTTTTCATTGTTTTGAAAATCCCACTGTTCTCCATGCCATCCAGTCATGATCCAATGATCAGAATGTTCCATTGTCTTTTCATTGTTTTGAAAATCCTACTGTTCTCCATGCTATCCAGTCATGATCCAGTGATCAGAATGTTCCATTGTGTTTTCATTGTTTTGGAAATCCTGCTATTCTCCATGCCATCCAGTCATGATCCAATGATCAGAATGTTCCATTGTGTTTTCATTGTTTTGAAAATCTCACTGTTCTCCATGCCATCCAGTCATGATCCAGTGATCAGAATGTTCCATTGTCTTATCATTGTTTTGAAAATCTCACTGTTCTCCATGCCATCCAGTCATGTTCCAGTGATTAGAATGTTCCATTGTCTTTTCATTGTTTTGAAAATCCTGCTGTTCTCCATGCCATCCAGTCATGATGCAGTGATCAGAATGTTGCATTATCTTTTCATTGTTTTGAAAATCTCACTGTTCTTCATGTCATCCAGTCATGATCCAGTGATCAGAATGTTCCATTGTCTTTTCATTGTTTTGAAAATCTCACTGTTCTTCATGTCATCCAGTCATGATCCAGTGATTAGAATGTTCCATTGTCTTTTCATTGTTTTGAAAATCTCACTGTTCTTCATGCCATCCAGTCATGATCCAATGATCAGAATGTTCCATTGTCTTTTCATTGTTTTGAAAATCCCACTGTTCTTCATGTCATCCGGCCATGATCGAGTGATCAGAATGTTCCATTGTGTTTTCATTGTTTTGAAAATCCCACTGTTCTCCATGCCATCCAGTCATGATCCAATGATCAGAATGTTCCATTGTGTTTTCATTGTTTTGAAAATCCTACTGTTCTCCATGCCATCCAGTCATGATCCAGTGATCAGAATGTTCCATTGTGTTTTCATTGTTTTGAAAATCCCACTGTTCTCCATGCCATCCAGTCATGCATGATCCAATGATCAGAATGTTCCATTGTGTTTTCATTGTTTTGAAAATCCCACTGTTCTCCATGCCATCCAGTCATGATCCAATGATCAGAATGTTCCATTGTCTTTGCATTGTTTTGAAAATCTCACTGTTCTTCATGTCATCCAGTCATGATCCAGTGATTAGAATGTTCCATTGTCTTTTCATTGTTTTGAAAATCTCACTGTTCTTCATGCCATCCAGTCATGATCCAATGATCAGAATGTTCCATTGTGTTTTCATTGTTTTGAAAATCTCACTGTTCTCCATGCCATCCAGTCATGATCCAGTGATCAGAATGTTCCATTGTCTTATCATTGTTTTGAAAATCTCACTGTTCTCCATGCCATCCAGTCATGTTCCAGTGATTAGAATGTTCCATTGTCTTTTCATTGTTTTGAAAATCTCACTGTTCTTCATGTCATCCAGTCATGATCCAGTGATCAGAATGTTCCATTGTCTTTTCATTGTTTTGAAAATCTCACTGTTCTTCATGTCATCCAGTCATGATCCAGTGATTAGAATGTTCCATTGTCTTTTCATTGTTTTGAAAATCTCACTGTTCTTCATGCCATCCAGTCATGATCCAATGATCAGAATGTTCCATTGTCTTTTCATTGTTTTGAAAATCCCACTGTTCTCCATGCCATCTAGTCATGATCCAGTGATCAGAATGTTCCATTGTCTTTTCATTGTTTTGAAAATCTCACTGTTCTTCATGTCATCCAGTCATGATCCAGTGATTAGAATGTTCCATTGTCTTTTCATTGTTTTGAAAATCTCACTGTTCTTCATGCCATCCAGTCATGATCCGATGATCAGAATGTTCCATTGTCTTTTCATTGTTTTGAAAATCCCACTGTTCTCCATGCCATCTAGTCATGATCCAGTGACCAGAATGTCCCATTGTCTTTTCATTGTTTTGAAAATCCCACTGTTCTCCATGCCATCCAGTCATGATCCTGTGATCAGAATGTTCCATTGTCTTTTCATTGTTTTGAAAATCCCACTGTTCTCCATGCCATCCAGTCATGATCCAGTGATCAGAATGTTCCATTGTCTTTCCATTGTTTTGAAAATCCCACTGTTCTTCATGTCATCCAATCATGATCCAATGATCAGCATGTTCCATTGTCTTTTCATTGTTTTGAAAATCCCACTGTTCTCCATGCCATCCAGTGATCAGGCATTGTCTTTTCATTGTTTTGAAAATCCCACTGTTCTCCATGCCATCCAGTGATCAGAATGCTCCATTGTCTTTTCATTGTTTTGAAAATCCCATGCCATCCAGTCATGATCCATGCAGTGACCAGAATGTTCCATTGTCTTTTCATTGTTTTGAAAATCCCTGTGTTCTCCATGCCATCCAGTCATGATCCAGTGATCAGAATGTTCCATTGTCTTTTCATTGTTTCGAAAATCCCACTGTTCTTCATACCATCCAGTCATGATCCAGTGATCAGAATGTTCCATTGTCTTTTCATTGTTTTGAAAATCCCATTGTTCTCCATGCCATCCAGTCATGATCCAGTGATCAGAATGTTTCATCGTCTTTTTATTGTTTTGAAAATCCCTGTGTTCTCCATGCCATCCAGTCATGATCCAGTGATCAGAATGTTCCATTGTCTTTTCATTGTTTCGAAAATCCCACTGTTCTTCATACCATCCAGTCATGATCCAGTGATCAGAATGTTCCATTGTCTTTTCATTGTTTTGAAAATCCCATTGTTCTCCATGCCATCCAGTCATGATCCAGTGATCAGAATGTTTCATCGTCTTTTTATTGTTTTGAAAATCCCTGTGTTCTCCATGCCATCCAGTCATGATCCAGTGATCAGAATGTTCCATTGTCTTTTCATTGTTTCGAAAATCCCACTGTTCTTCATACCATCCAGTCATGATCCAGTGATCAGAATGTTCCATTGTCTTTTCATTGTTTTGAAAATCCCATTGTTCTCCATGCCATCCAGTCATGATCCAGTGATCAGAATGTTTCATCGTCTTTTTATTGTTTTGAAAATCCCTGTGTTCTCCATGCCATCCAGTCATGATCCAGTGATCAGAATGTTCCATTGTCTTTTCATTGTTTCGAAAATCCCACTGTTCTTCATACCATCCAGTCATGATCCAGTGATCAGAATGTTCCATTGTCTTTTCATTGTTTTCAAAATCCCATTGTTCTCCATGCCATCCAGTCATGATCCAGTGATCAGAATGTTTCATTGTCTTTTCATTGTTTTGAAAATCCTACTGTAGTACTGTTCTTCATGCCATCCAGTCATGATCTGGACGGTGATCACAATGTTCTCTTGTCAAGTAAAATCATCTGTTGTTAGACAAAAGTAAAATAATAAAGTAAGGCGCATTGGGGTGCAATGCAACACAATGGGTTAACTAAATACATAGGCAGATAGTCTGATAAATCTTAAAAATTATCTTTTAAACAGAGTGATGAAAATAGAAAATGGCTTTCTAAGAAGTATGAAGCGATTTCTCAAAAGCTGATTGTCTTGGTTCACAATGACGGCAAAGATCTTATGTTATCATACCTTAATTTGAGAAACTGTGATTGTTTTTGGAACAACATCAGTAGCAGGATTGATATGTATCTTGACAAAGTTAATGAGAAATTTGGACTTCCAGTTATAGAAGTGGTAAGAAATTTATATAGATCGATATTTATTGAGACAACGATATCATGTTTAATTACCTTGTTTAGTTCATATTAAATATTAATAATCGTGAGAATTTTATATAAAAAATTGAATTCTTATTGTGGTAGTAAATTCCAAACTTGACGCAGTTATGTTAAGCGGCAATTTTTTTCAATGTACTTCTCAAAATTGCTCTGTTTTGGCTTTATTCTCTAGTTTATACTGTTAGCTACCTTTTTAAATGCATTTGCCAGTTAAGAAACATAAAATAATGGTAAAAAATTGTCAATTACAATTATCAACGATGCTTTAAAAGTGACGATGATGAAGTATGGGCAAAAGTTACTGAACTTAAGACATCATTTTGTCTTTGGCATACCATCTGAAATCTCTTCATTTCAGCATTATTTTACAGATAAAGCACTAAACATACTTAAGTTTATAAAATTTGTTTACCGATTAAGGAACGTATCGGAGAATAAAATAAAAATAAAACGTTTGAATGTAGTCCTAACCACATGTAAGTTGTATATTATACTCTTTAGTTTTGAGCGCGTTACGTAAAATACAAAAAATCCTCAAATTCTATTTTTGTTTAGTTGTTACGCCAGGGAAAGCAACATCGTGCTAAAGCGAAACGTCGAGGTGTGGAAACATCAAGCGCGGAGACAAGAAGCAAAGAAATACACGCTGAAACTGTTAGTTCGGATTGTAGGGAAGGTACGTCTGCTCCACCTACTGAAGATGTAAATACGGATGACGGAGAAACAGCATCTGCTGTTGGACGTTTTGATCAACCAGAAATTGACGAGGAACACCAGCATGAGATTACATCTCAAATGCATTGTCAGAGTAAGGAAGATCTTTTGAATAGCTCGATCGAGGACGTCTGTGTTCATTCTGATACTGAGAGCGAAAGTCGGGAGAGTAACTCTACTTCTCAAGATATTTTAAAGACTGTCAATGTTAGAGATGGTGATAAGGAAACCGATTGTTCTATGCTCAGCGAAGGTGATCAGGTTTGTCTAAGAACACAAACAGATGCCGGTAAAGAAATGAATAATTTTACCGATGATAAAACTGGTAGCCTAATTGGTAATGAGGAATGCGATCGTTCTATGCTCGGCGAAGGTGACGAGGTTTGTCTAAGAACACAAATAGACCCTTGTAAAGAAATGAATAATTTTACCGGTGATAAAACTGGTAGTCTAGGTGGTGATGAGGAAAGCGATCGTTCTGTGCTCAGCGAAGATGAGGTTTCTCTAAGAACACAAACAGATGTCGGTAAAGAAATTAATAATTTCACCGTTGATGAAACTGGTAGCCTAAGTGGTGATGCGCAATGCGATCGTTCTGTACTCAGCGAAGATGAGAAGGTTTGTCTAAGAACACAAACAGATGCTGGTAAAGAAATGAATAATTTCACCGATGATGAAAATGGTAGCCTAAGTGGTGTTGAGGAAACTGATTGTTCCATGCTCAGCGAAGATGATGAATCAAGTCAAGAAGATCGACATAAATTTCCAGTCATAACGGATATCCCGAGCACTGTATACCAAGCAAATATTACGTCAAAAAGTTGTGAGAGCCTTATACTTTTTGACAGTGATAATACCGTTGACAAAGCTATAGATAAAGAAGAGCTCGAAATAGATAGGTCCACTACTACAAATGAGCAAGATAACAGCACACAAAGTATTTCTAAACCTTCCGCTGTTGACAATAAAGCCAGAGGCAATAATCACGGACATACAATGAATCAAGAGGCAGTCAAGAAAGATTTAAGTCCATCTACAGAAAGTTCTGAAGGTCCAACGTCTAGTGATAATACCATTGACGAAGCTATAGATAAAGAAGACCTCGAAATAGATAGGTCCAGTACAAATGAGCAAGATAACAGCACACAGAGCATTTCTAAACCTCTCTCTGTTGACAATACAGCTAGAGGCAATAACCACAGACACACACTCAATCAAGAGGCAGTCAAGAAAGGTTTAAGTCCATCTACAGAAAGTTCTGAAGGTCCAGCGTCTATTGATGCAAACAGCACACACACTAACGAGACAGCCACCAAATATATAATTAGTAGTATGGATTGTCAACCTATTACACTATTCACAACAAGCAATGAAGACTCGGACACAAACGACGAAGTAAATGAAGTAATCATTAAAAAGGAAATGATAGAATATTTAACTGGTATCGTTGATCAGATTAGTGATGAAACTGAAGGCACAGAAGACACAGTTTCTCTTGAAGCGATAAACAACGAAGTGACTGCACCGATCACTGAAGAAAAAGTTGCAAAAATTTCGCGAAGCGCCAGTCATAAGCCTGATGGCTTACAAACAGAAACCATTGAAAACATAGGATCCCTTGATGCCATCAACAATAACAACGATATAGGAGGTATGATTTCGAAAGATGCAGGGGCAGAATATAGTACGCTTGCGAATGATCACACTAGCGAAACAAACATAACATCTTTTGATGCCACAAACGGTAACAATGAAATAGGATGCTTCATTTCGAAAGAGGCAGGCGAAAAAGATAGAATACTTGCGAATGATCACATCAGCGAAAATGAAGGAACTGACTCATTTGGTAATTGCAATGATACAAGTAATTCCCTTGACATCATAGGCAATGACAACGAAATGGGACGCTTGATTTCAAAAGAGGCAGGCAGAGATGATACAATACTTGCGAATGATCACAATGCGAGCGAAACTGAATGTACTGAAGAGGAGGGCGCGGGTAGGCATCCACCTAGAAGCATTGCCCAAAAAAATCCACTGCCTAGTGTCACGAAAGTCAGTGACAGTAAAATTGATGGTATATTAAGTGAAGAGGTAGTCCCAAAATTGATAACCAACAACCAATCTTGTCAAACAGGAATTACACAAATACACACTGGCGTTAATAACAGTCTGAGCCACAACAAAGTTGATGATACGAGCTTTATTGGTAAAGATCCTATCAATGAAGGATTAATCACAGGACAGCCTGATTGCCCATCTATAGAAATTGATGAAAACCCATTGAATCACATTGACGCTAGTATAATTGGTAAAAATTCAATCATCAAAGATATACTTGGTAGCAAGAAAGACCCATTGGCGGCCAGTGATATTTCAACGGGTATTCAAACTCCGTGCGACAAAGGTAATTTAATGGGTAAACATACCACGTGTAATACTGCAACTATCGCTAGTCAAATGCACAGACCATCTCCAGTAAACGGTATTTGTAAAATGAATATCGACAAGACACAAAGCAAAGTTATTGGTATAGTTAATGCACTTCGAAAAATTGGTAATGTAAATACTCGTGTCCGAGAAAGATCTACCAGTGATCTGGTGAATTTGGGTCACAATGCGAACAACCAAAGCGATACCAGCATTCTGCCTAAAGTTTTGACCACTCCACTACAAAACATCAGTGATTTTCCTAATCCTGACAATCAAACATCTAGCAATGATTTGGTAAATCCTAGCAAAACCAACCAGGCTCACCAAAATAATGTTCCATCTTCAAATAATATTAATTACCTAATGCGTACTGACAATACAGAAACCCAAATCGTCGCTACAAGTAGTCCACTCCTAAAGATCAGTGATGTACGTAGCCTTGCGGACAATGCAATCAGTAATGATCCTTCAAATGATGCAAATATTTATCATACTGTCAAAAAAGAGCCAATCACCAAAGATAGGCCATCTGCAGAATTGCCTAGCACCAATAAGCAAGCTTCATCTGTTAGGAAGAGTTCCAGTCCACCTATAAACAACAACATAATCAGCAAAATTGAGTCACTCGTTCATAAGTTTGGTAACTTACAAAGCGTTACTATCTACCCAGATTTCCATAATGATGGTAAAAACAACGAAAGCAACACCAGCCATTGTTCAGGAGCTTCGAACTGTTTACCTCTGGGGAATATACGTCCGTCTTCAATAACACTGCATACATCAGGCGCAGCTAACTCTAGCGAAGAACGAGGGATAGTTGAACTTAATGGACAATATATAGAAATTGATAATGAAAGTTATTTCATATTTGTCCGTCTTTTACCGCGGAATGGTCAGAACGAAACGAATCACCAGTCCAGAACTGAATTTGTGTGTGATACTCAGACGAATCTGTCAATGGAAATTATGAATTTAGCTGCAAAGAATGCTTGCGGTTCTGAGAGAGGTTGCATTAATCGGCCAGGTAGTCAGATAAACAAAAAGCAATCAGGATGCACCGTGGAATCTCGTGATGGTCAACGTAATGGTCAGGCCAGGGACCAGGAACATTTCAAAACTGCCTCTAAGTCTAGTAAAGAAAGTATAAAAGTAGAGTCAACTGTCTGTAAAGCTTCCTGTAGTTATCCGGAAAACACTACCCAACTGGGATGTGTCTCAAACAGATGTGAACATTCTACCACAAACAATCGGAAAACTGGAGGAACTAACTCGTTTGGTAATTGCCATTTAAACAACCCTCCTTCTCCGAAGGAAGAATTGGAAGGCTTCCTCCTTAGTTCTGTTACACATGATCATTGCTACTCCGTGAACGATACAACTAATTCAACTTCCGCCAGGAAAAGAAGCTCATCACTCACTTTGTCACCTCAGGTTTCAAAAAAGCGAAACACTTCATTGTCAAATCAGCGCTTCTCTTCCCGCCTTAAGACAAAAGAACAGCGGAATGCCATCACACATGATCACTGCTACTCTGTGAGTGACACAACTAATTTAATTTTCAGCAGGATCAGAAGCTCAATACTCTCTTTGTCACGTCAGGTTTCAAAAAACCGAAAAGAGGCGTTGCCAGAGCGCATCTCTGTCCAGCGTAACACAAAAGAACTGCAGAATGTCGGTTTACTGCTGAATTGCTCTAACCGGGAACAGTTGCCCACTGCTATGCAAAATAGGCCAAGTGATAAGCGTGTCTTTTACGAAAACGAAGGATCGAACCAGGCGAATCGAAACGCTCATCAACCCATCCCAGCTCGACTAGAAATAGATGAACAGCTGAATTTAGGTTTACAGCAGAATTCTTCGAACCGGATAAACGAACAGATGGCTTCTAGTCCAGAAGAATTTTCTAATTCATCACCTAATGATAACATCTTAAACGAGGGAAATCGAACCTCTGAAGAGGATTCCTGTTCTAGTAATTGTACGATTTATGAAAAAGACACAGCATGTTTAAATGTTAGTTTAATTGCTCAAGGCAATGGAAATAAAGACCCGCATGAAAACATCACCCAGCCAAATAATATCGTCGGTGTTTGGAAAGCTTCAGATAAGAAAGACGATAATGGAACACCACACAGCGACAGCTCGTTCCCTCAAATCTTGACTTCTACTTCGTCCTCCCTCCCTCAGACATCTAGCTGTCAATCTGGTGAAAGTCTCGGCTCGCCAAATTCAACATCGGAAGACGATCGTAGCGTCGTAAGATCTCCGAGTATTTTCGAGTTCTTACCGCGACCGAGTTCAGAGTCTTTAACCCAAGACGGCGATACTTGTTCGAGTTTGGAAAAGAACCGTTGGTCCAGTACTGATGAGAGTTCGGAGGAATCGAGGAAATGTTTCAGTGCCGTTGATGGAACGGAAGCGTCCAATTCTATGCAAGATTCGATGGGTTTTACAGAGAAAAAATACGTGAGATTAGACTTGGATCATTCAATACGGATCATCGACGAGCCAACTAGTTGTAAAGATCCTTCTCCAATCATTTGTAATGATCAAACTAAACGTACAGACTTAACAGGAAACTCTAAAACTTTGACAAAGAAAGGGAATACAGATTTGGGCTTGAATAATTCAGTG